CGTCAAGGGATTGATTCCTATCACTAGCATGCAAAATATACCAATACCAGAAAACCAAAAATACATCAGAGCAAAAAAGCCATGAGGCCGTGGTTTAATGTGAATTTAGAACTGCTAACTTGCATTATAACCCGCGGCAACAGTGTAAAAGTAGCCCGGAGTCAGATGCACCTCTCCCGCATCGGCACTTCACATGCCTAGTATGTATGCTGGCGGGCGCGAATTATCAATCACAAACGGCTGCATTGGAGTCTTCGAGGCATTTTAGGACACAACATCGTCAAGTAAGTAACTTTAACGAATGTTACAGTAGTCACTGTAGTTGTCCGCTAGTAAAAACATAGTTTTATCAGTCATTATCCGTGTATGCCATTGTTTTGCGTTTACTAGAGTTCCGTGGATCAGGAGGCGCTGGCTGGCGTGAGTGAGTGGAGGCGGGGCTAATTTGCATATTCATAGATCCGCGTATAGTAAATGAGGCGAGGGTGTTGAGTTACATTCAAGCTATTTTAAGGCATGAGACAATTATTTTCACAAGAAAAAACATTTAAATATGTCATTTTGATTATCAAAGATAAGTTTTAAGGGATACAATATTTGACTACAGGGGGACTTTAAGAGTATTTTAGTTATTTTTCTGAGAAATAATAAAGCAAGAGTACATTTCTGAGAAATAAGAATTAACAGGCCCACAAGTCCATCTAATCGAAGAAACGCCCATCTTTTTCGTGATTGGTAAGAGCTGCTTTCAGTTCTTTAAAATTGAATCCTGCATATCTCAGAAATTGCTGTTCGATTAGTTGCTGCTCAGTTATATAACAACATGATAGAAAAGTCATTTAAATTGAAATGTTTGCCTGTCATAGAACCGTCCAGTAGTGACATATTCGTATACTGTTGTGAAGTACGGTTTGTCCTCCCGCTGTATTGAGGTCAAAGTGGAATGATGCTGTTGTTCCTTTAAATGCTCTCACCCAGCTGATGATCTACGTCACAGCATATGACCCGAATTACAATATCATTTTATTTCTTTATTGTTTTGTCCGCGGATTTAGGAGCAACACAGACCACACGCGTCGAGTCGTAGTGTATAACTGTCCAAAACAGTCCTGAATAAACATGAGCTAGTTTCCACTGAGAGCTGAATGCAGTGCGAGCGGAGGGTTGTGTTGACGCAGAGCGGTCACATGAATTTGAACTGAAGATGGCGGACCACAACTCAGGAACATCGGAGCAGCACAGCAGTGAAGTTTCAGAAACTTTAGTGTCATCTAATGAATTTCTCAAACCCCACATGCAGGACAGCGATGGACATACAGCCAACAGTCCAGAGGAGTCGCTTTCTCCTGCCTCGGTGATTTACTTTAAGGAGGCGCTAACTTATAACTCAAGTATACAGTTTACAAAGACGAGCTCTTCTCTTCATGCCCCAGTGCGATATGAATTCCAGATTGAGAAGACTAACAAGAAAACAAGAAGTGAGTATATGTTATGGTCGTCTGCATATGGGCTTATTTGATAGGATCTGATAGTGTTTGCTTCTCTTGAACATGCTGCGTTCTTTGACACAAGCCTTATGTTCCAATGTCAACAACAATGCACAATGACAGCCACTCCGACGTTAATGCAAGTTTTTTAAATGTTTTTTTTTTAAATTTATGACTTTGAATTCATAAATCAATAATAACCTACAGCTAGCACAAACTGTCATCAGCTTGCATGTAAAATATTACACCTGGTGTACGAATGTAGGTATCCACAACCTTAAAGGTGGGGTAAGTGATTTCTGGTAGCCAATGTTGATATTTCAAATCACCAAAACAAACACGCCCCTACCCCATAAGGGTCTCGCCCCTATTTTAAAAGCTCCGCCACACACATACAGGTGCATCTCAATAAATTAGAATGTCGTGGAAAAGTTTTAAATAAATTCAATGCACACAGACTGAAGTAGTTTACGTCTTTGGTTCTTTTAATTGTGATGATTTTGGCTCACATTTAACAAAAACCCACCAATTCACTATCTCAACAAATTAGAATATAACCTACAGCTAGCACAAACTGTCATCAGCTTGCATGTAAAATATTACACCTGGTGTACGAATGTAGGTATCCACAACCTTAAAGGTGGGGTAAGTGATTTCTGGTAGCCAATGTTGATATTTCAAATCACCAAAACAAACACGCCCCTACCCCATAAGGGTCTCGCCCCTATTTTAAAAGCTCCGCCACACACATACAGGTGCATCTCAATAAATTAGAATGTCGTGGAAAAGTTCATTTATTTCAGTAATTCAACTCAAATTGTGAAACTCGTGTATTAAATAAATTCAATGCACACAGACTGAAGTAGTTTAAGTCTTTGGTTCTTTTAATTGTGATGATTTTGGCTCACATTTCACAAAAACCCACCAATTCACTATCTCAACAAATTAGAATATGGTGACATGCCAATCAGTTAATCAACTCAAAACACCTGCAAAGTTTTCCTGAGCCTTCAAAATGGTCTCTCAGTTTGGTTCACTAGGCTACACAATCATGGGGAATACTGCTGATCTGACAGTTGTCCAGAAGACAATCATTGACACCCTTCACAAGGAGAGTAAGCCATAAACATTCATTGCCAAAGAAGCTGGCTGTTCACAGAGTGCTGTATCCAAGCATGTTAACAGCAAGTTGAGTGGAAGGAGAAAGTGTGGAAGAAAAAGATGCACAACCAACCGAGAGAACCGCAGCCTTATGAGGATTGTCAAGCAAAATCGATTCAAGAATTTGAGTGAACTTCACAAGGAATAGACTGAGGCTGGGGTCAATGCATCAAGAGCCACCACACACAGACGTGTCAAGGAATTTGGCTACAGTTGTCGTATTCCTCTTGTTAAGCCACTCCTGAACCACAGACAACGCCAGTGGCGTCTTACCTGGGCCAAGGAGAAGAAAAACAGGACTGTTGCCCAGTGGTCCAAAGTCCTCTTTTCAGATGACAGCAAGTTTTGTATTTCATTTGGAAACCAAGGTCCTAGAGTCTGGAGGAAGGGTGGAGAAGCTCATAGCCCAAGTTGCTTGACGTCCAGTGTTAAGGTTCCACAGTCTGTGATGATTTGGGGTGCAATGTCATCTGCTGGTGTTGGTCCATTGTGTTTTTTGAAAACCAACCTCACTGCACCCGTTTACCAAGAAATTTTGGAGCACTTCATGCTTCCTTCTGCTGACCAGCTTTTTGAAGATGCTGATTTCATTTTACAGCAGGATTTGGCACCTGACCACACTGCCAAAGCAACAAAAGTTGGTTAAATGACCATGGTGTTGGTGTGCTTGACTGGCCAGCAAACTCACCAGACCTGAACCCCATAGAGAGCTAAAAATGTTTTTTAATTGGTCTTATGAAGTATTCTAATTTGTTGAGATAGTGAATTGGTGGGTTTTTGTTAAATGTGAGCCAAAATCATTACAATTAAAAGAACCAAAGACTTAAACTACTTCAGTCTGTGTGCAGTGAATTTATTTAATACACGAGTTTCACAATTTGAGTTGAATTACTGAAATAAATGAACTTTTCCACGACATTCTAATTTATTGAGATGCACCTGTACGTACGCAACCCAGGCAACGATTAGTTCTGTGAAACAAAGCAAAACCAATGTTACACCGTGTCTACACCATAGAGTACACCGGACGCGAGCGGCGTGGTGCGACTATAGAACTCATCATTATCAGTGATGCTGCTACACTGGATATGGTGCGGCACGACAAATCCCCGACAGAAAACTGCTAGTGTAGACAGCATCACTGATTATAATGAGTTCTATAGTATTTTGTCGCGCCGCGCCACTCGCGTCCAGTGTAGACACGGTGTAACCCTTATACAGTCTATGGGTGTAACATTGGTTTTGCTTTGTTTCACAGAACTAATCTTTGCCTGGGTTGCGTACTTGTGTGAGGTGGAGCTAGCGCTGTGCAATTAATCGCATGCGATTGTCATGCGCATCTCGTCAGTAAAGCCGGTCCCGTGATTAGTAGTAAATAGCCATCACCTGCTTTCAGATGGAGCGGCATTTAATGCACAGAGCCGTAGTTCTCTGACAAGCTAGGCGATATCGCGTTCATAATCGAATACGATTCATCTGCGATTATGAACGCGATATTGCCTAATTGTCAGTAGGGCTGGGCATCGTTCAAAATTGTTCGATACCGATACCTTGACTTCGATACCGGATCCTGAACGATACTTTTTTCGATACAAATTTTATGAAATCAATTTTAACAAGATTACATTATCTAAAAAAAAAAAAAAACTTTAGTTTTATTTTTCAGCTTGTTGATGTTTATACAAACTCAAAGACTCATCTCCTGAGCCACTGCACAAAGGAACAAAATGTAACCAACACAATAAATCAGTGCATAATAGTTTTACTCTGTGTAGTGAATGCCGCTCAATCTGAAAGCAGGTGATGGAGATTTGCTACTAATCACGGGAGCAGCTTTACTGACAAGATGCGCATGACAATCACATGCGATTAATTGCACAGCCCTAGGCGGAGCTATCAAAATAGGGGCGAGACCCTTTTGGGGTAGGGGCGTGTTTGTTTTGGTGATTTCAAATGTCAACATTGACTACCAGAAATTGCTTACCCCACCTTTAAAGTGTACAAATCGGATAAACTCCTAATCCTTGAGCTCATGTTCCCCATGAGAAATATTACTGGTTGAGTGTGCGTCCTGGCTATTATTATTATGGTCAGATTTAGCTGATTCTGAATAGCAAGTGAGCTGAGCTGCCTACCATGCCCACATTTTTGGCCATCATAGTCATGCTGTAAATGACTGGAATGCACATAATGATGCCCAAAACTGCTTTCTGTGTAGGTTGTCACTTGGTTTTCTGTTTTTTTAAACATTCTTTTTGGCGTTGACTGTCCTATTCATAAATGTATGTATTTCAAAAAGTATGTCAAATGAGTAGGATGTCTAAATATGCAGTATTCATGAAACCGTGTGCAGACAATTCTTGCCTGCTGAGATTTCTATATGCAAGTGTGCAACCAGTTTGCTATCCCATAAATCCACAAGAGCCGAGTAGCTGTCGGATCTGTGAAGCTCTGTGAGTCCCGCAGTTTTTTTTCATGGTTAAATTGTACTTGTTTAACAACACCCAGGTAAATTATTTTCACAGTTTTTCTTAGTACATCACAGGTCAAAGAACATACTGGTTGAAGGCTGATGGTGAACTACCAGGTACAACTGGAAAATGTACCATTCTATTCAGTTGCAATGGACTCTTGTGCAACTTTTTTAAGAAGCGTACATTTTGAAGAAATTAAAGATTGGATATGATTTTATTATTTTTGTGGAAAAAGTGAAAATGAAAACACTATTTTTTTCATTCTTTTGTGATTGCTTGCTTCAGAGGGTTCAATCAGACTCATACAGCCCATTTGTCACACTCTGTGAATTATTTAGCAGTGCAGTATTATGGTTCAATATCTGTAATGATATATCTTGCTAAGAGCTGCATCACTGAATGATGTGACATCACCACATTACTTTGGTATTTTCATTTACATGCCTTAAAGTTTTAGAGATACACTACCGTACAAAAGTTTGGGGTCTAAGATTTTTTTTATTTTGAAGTCTCCATTGATATGATCAATAATACAGTAAAACTGTAATTTTGTGAAATATTACAATTTAAAATAACTGTTTTCTATTTTATTATATTTAAAAATGTATTCCTGTGATGGCAAAGCTGAATTTTCAGCAGCCATTACTCCAGTCTTTAGTGTCACATGATCTTTTTGAAATCATTTTAATATATTTGATGTAGGGGTCGACCGATTATCGGCACCGATATTAAGCATTTTTATGATTATCGGTATCGGTCATTTTCAAAACAGATTCGCCGATAAAATAACTTAATTTTGAAATGCGCTATTTGGCTCTGATGCAGCCTGTCAGAACACACCACTCTGTGGCCTAAAGCAATCTCCGCCCACCACCCATAAAGGGGAGGGGGAGCCCGGGGAGAGCTGAGCTCTCATGCCTCCGTTGGTAAAAAAAAAATTTTTTGCCAATCAGCATCGAGTGTTCACTTTCAGCGCTGAGGAGTGTTGAGAAAAGAAACCTGGCAAGGGAGGCAAGCCGCCTCCTGATATCAACCAATCATCATAGAGACGTAAATTATGTGATATTAGTTTGAACATTTCCCGCTGCGCTGATAATGTACCAAGTACTTATGAGTAGCGATATTGAATATTTGATGCCAACAGATTTACCAAGCTGTCATTCAAACCGTGTATATATATATACAAATTAAAAATAAAGGGAGAACCATAGACTGTAAAAAAAACATGGACGTAGTGTCCGTGACGTCACTCGTAGGTTTCAGAAGAGCATTTTTGAAGCCTAAAGTGTGCGGAGCCGACCACCGACAAATTGCATTTGAACAAATTGCAACTTGCATTTTGTTCACATAACTTTG